TCCCTATATAGTAACAAAGTTTCCACAATTTGTCCTTTAATTTCCTTTTATCATTTCTTAGACCTTGAGACTTTTGTAAAACCACTTAGGTCCTTAATTAAACTTATGTCCCATTAACTAAACTTTTGGATAATTACATTTTGGCCCCAAACTTTCAATAAAAGTACAGATATGCCCAACACTGTAACTTCCTTTATAGATTGGTCCCTGGTGCCAAAACAGTAAATGCCTAGGCAAAAATCCAGAATTTCCTTTTGCCAAGTTTAGTTTCAAAGCCAAGTTAAACATTCAAACTCAAATAGTCCTCACTAGTTTTTCCAAATTGCACTTAACTTAGCTTTAAACTCAAGAATCCATTCAATTCCATGAATACAACTTTAGAACAGATTTTTCCAACAATTGAACCAACTTAAACTTTACCTCAATTCTTTGAATCTTTCTGCAATGCACAAAGAAGGCCCCCAAGGGGTAAAACCACCAAACAACACTTGATAACAAGAGAGGAGCTTGTTTCAGTTATATTACATCCGAGAGGCCTAAACTTGTTGTATGGCCACCATCTTTGGATATGTTGTAGAGAACAGAAAACTGAGAAACATTCAAGAAGCAACCTTGGTTATCTAAGCATGGGAAATCGACATGCAAGAGTGAGTAAGGTGTTGTAGAGTTAAAACAGCAGAACATAGGACTTACTAACCTTGAACAAGGTTTCAGGTGGTTAGAGAACTCCAATTGATGTGAATTTTGGATATGTAATAGTTTTCTAATGAAGGAACAGCTCGTATGAAGAAACTGGTGTCGAATGATCAATAGAAATTGACATGCAAGAAAGAATTCGGAGCCTACCTCGATACAGCAGACAGGAATGAGCAAGTGACACTTCAACACGCTTTGAGATGACTACACTTGTTGGCTTAAGCTCCAATTTTGACAGATTATAGCCAAGACATAGATGAACAACGTTGATGAAGGGAACGAAGCCATTAGATCAGAGGAAGGCCACATGCAAGAGTGAATAAGGGCACACTAGAGTGAAACCAGCAAACAGAACGAAAGTGAAGACTAGTCTTACCTTGAACACGATTTGAGGTAGATAGACATCTCCAATTGCCTTGAATTTTGGATATCATAGCTCTTGAACAGAGGAACAAGTTTAATGAAGACTACTTCACCAAAAGAATAGTGGAAAATAGACGTGCAAGGCCAAACCCGAGCCTTACGCAGAGAATCAGGCTGTGACGAACAACTTGTACTCAAACTGCGTTTTAGGTAACTAAACTTCTTCGATGGGGCTCAATTTTTGATATGTTCTAGTCGACAAGCAGATAAACAAGTATGAAGAAGGAAATATTTCGTTTTGAGCTGAGGAGATATGGGTTTCGAAGCAGTCAAAAGACTGACGTGAAGAATGAGAGCTAGAGCTCTCAGGCTTGGAGAGAATAATGGTGAAACTTGTGTTGTGTGAGAGTTATCAATGGTCAGACTTGGGAAGAGGAGGGAATAAGTGTAGGAGTTTAATAGAATAGCCCTTTGACCCCCAAAGAAAGAAGTTTCCTCTTCCATTTCTTAGGAGGGCTTTAACCCACCTATGTTAGCAGGACATTTCATGCAAGAACAAGGTTTGAGTTAGTGCATATCCAAGTCCATAACTTATTTTGTAACTGAGAGGTGTGGTGTATTTCTCAGTATTTTACCAAAAGTGAAAATTTTGACACTTCAAGTATTTACTCTGATTGCATATTTTACTGCAAGTTTACATAAACATAAAAACTAGAAACAATAAAACTGAATTAGAAGCCTAATAAAAACAAAGTGGGAAGCATCCAGAATTTAGCGAAATTCTTGGGTCATCTCAATGGGTTTAGAAACCACACGTTGCTCTGGTTGATTGGGCTTATTGACTAACCAACGAGAATGCTTTGAAAGAAAAGAATCCATGATCCATCTAATAACCCGAGTGATGTTCATGTTGGGTTGGCCTATTCCACTGGGTTGTATTTATTTGGGCCTTAAATAATTAGTACACCCCGCCAAAACTAATTCCGAACAAAAAGTGACTAAAGTAGCCCCTACCCCTAAGGGCAAAATTGTAATTTCACAAATAGAAATAAATTGATTAAAACGATTAAATTAGGTCGGGATGTTACACTATTACATAATTAGTTGGCTTTAAGGGCATATTTCTAACAAAGAAGTGGGTAATGGTGTTGGTATGAAGGGTGTTCTACTCCCAGTAGCCTGCACACATAAGTATCCTTCGGTTTTATAGATGGTTTGTCTTGGATTTAGCTTTGGCCATGTGCTGGACACTTTCTTGAGATATTTTCTAAGTTGTTTGGGCCACTTCCTAAGGTGATGGGCCAATTTTCTAAGGTGATGAGCTATTTTCTATTATCTCTTTCATGCTTATCCACATATTTGGGCTCAAGAAATGGGCTCGAGTTTTGGGGTTCCCAAGCAGCCCAAAACTTTCACTTCTTGGCTTATCAATGGGCCTCATGAATGCTCGTAACCATCCATACCACAACCCATTTAGCAAGCTCCAGGCATTTGCGTGGCTTGGGCCCACTTAAGCTTGTAGCGTGACTAGGTGTAAAATAAGGGTTTTTCGTTTGGCATTGCTTGTTGTTTGGCGTGCTCGTGCTCGAATTTTATCATTTTGTAAAGGGCTATGATCGAGTCAAAATGACGTTTGACGAGTTAATAAGCACGGGTTCATAGAGCTGATATATTTTACGGGCTCGTTACAACTCTTGGCGTGACGGGTTACATATTTGCTTGGTGTGTCGCGTGGACCATAACTTGTGCGAGTGCATATGACGAACTTTCGCGTACCCAAATCAGGTTTCTTCTCATTAAGGTATCGCATTGGGCCGGGAATATATTTGGGCCTAGCCTTGGATTTTTTGGGCCTCAAGAACAAGATTAGAATGAGAGTCAAAGCAAACATATAAAGATTCATGGAATTTTAAGAAAAGACAACCAACAAGCAGAATGCAAAAAAAAAAAAGGAAGAAGCAACATCTGTGAATCTACACTTCAACAAATTACCACAAAGAATTGCAAACAAAAAAAAAAAAAAAACCCCAAAATTTTGGAAAAAAAAAAGAATATTTAAACCGTAGCAAAACTTTAAAAAAGAGTTACTATGCTTCATCAAATTACTAGAAACTAGAAAACACAACACAAAAAAGCAACTGAAGCCAATTTATATTTTTTCAAACACAACAACTACAGAGAAAGAGTATTCTTATCCAGAAAATCAAAGTCCTAAAATCCTAAACAAATAAGTGAATGTTATATAACATGCAAATCTTAATATGAAAGAGAGAGAGGGAATTTGAGAGAAACGTACTGATTTAGACGTTCAGATGACTTTGGATGGTAGGGAAATAGAAAGACTAGATGAGGGAAGTTCTGCGACAACAAAAGAGGAAGTGAAAGAGAAAGAGTAGATCAAGAAGTTTCTGCGATAAGAGAAGAGGAATACACAAATTTATGTCTGGTAGGTGCAAGGATTAAAATATCGGCCGTGCAGATAATATCGGGCCTCCAATTTACGGATATTTCGGGGGATATATCGTTATTGTTTTAGGTATCGGTAAAAAATTAACAAAAATGATAGATATAGGCATTGAAACACATAATTTTGGTGTAAAACTTTCATAGATGTTATTTACATTATTAATTAATGTATAATTTACATTATCAATGAATGTATTGAACAAATAGAACTCAAAATTTACTAATAATAAGATATACATATGATGAAATATAAGTTGTATGTAATGCGCGTTAATGAAAAATTTGAAAATAAAATGTTGATTAGAATGAATATACCATGCATAAATCCATAGTTTGTTTAAACATTGGATTACAATTTAGATAAGTGTCCATTTGTTGATTAGAATGAATAAACCATGCATAAATCCATAGTTTGTTTAAACATTGGATTACAATTTAGATAAGTGTCCATCTACCTAAATGAATAGCTCCTATGAGGTTGAAACAATGAGGAACAACTTTGTAAGCCATGTTTGAACATGGTGCACATACGTCTCTCTTGAGCTCCCTAATGTCCTCCCATATATGGGATAGTTAGGATTAAACAAACTAATAGGTCCATAGTCTGTTTCATCATCTTGAGCTCCATAACTAGTTCCACTATAATCAGACATGACATAACCATAGCCATCATAAGATTCATTTGAGTTAGTACTAGGTTTAGTTCCTATGCTCATAGATTCAAAACTGATCGCCATGTTATCAGACATGACATAACCATAGCCATCATAAGATTCATTTGAGTTAGTACTAGGTTTAGTTCCTATGCTCATAGATCCAAAACTGATCGCCATGTCCTCTTTAGATGGATTGGAGGTATGTGGGTAGTGGACTGTGCATGGTTTCTTCATATTAATAAATTATAGGGTTCTAGGCAAGAATTAGCTATTTTTCAGTTCTAATTTGTTTCAATTGCCTTCAAAACTTCTGAATATTTTTTGGGTTCTGTTATGGGTATCGGGAAATATCGGGGATATTGGCAAAATATCGGGGATATCACACTTATCGGGGATATATCGTCGATATCGGGGAAGATATAGCCTTACCCCCCAGTATCGATGTCGACAGCTGAAAATATCGATATATCGGCCAATATATCGGTGTATCGGCCGATATTTCAATCCTTGGGTAGGTGAAATTTTTGGTGTTATGATTTGGGTTCATTCATAAATTAATTAAGAAGAAAGGCGCGACTGTAAGGAAGAACAAAGATATGTTTTTTTTCGAAAGAGACGTGACTTGACACATGGGCTAAGGGGAAACTGCAGCCCACCCGTTTGCACCGTAAGATTGCTTTTTCTCCTAAACAATTCAGATGCATTTCAACGGCTGCAATTGATTCTTGGTTCTCATTCTCACCTGATCCGAGCGCAAATTCACATACAATTATTGAATCTGCTCTGCCCAAATTTAAGGCCCTTATTTGAAATCCTCGGCCCATCGTGACCTCTCGGGCCATCTGGACGCGAGCCCTCTCTTCGTCTTCTCAGCGTGAAACTCCATCGCTCTCTATTCCGTCGGCCTCTCTCTCCAGCTCTCTCTTCCGCTCTCTCGCTCACTTCGGCTATCTCTCTTTTTCCTGCTCACCGCCTCTCCCTCCTCTTCGCGCTCTCCCTCCTACTTGCTCTCACTTACATCTACAACGTGGTAGCTCTCTTGGATCGAGGAGGTGGTCGCTCTCTGTCAGCTCAGGTAGCAGTTCTCCCTCCTTTTTCTCTATTTAATATTAGCTTGGTAAATTTGATGAATTTGTTTAAATTTGCATTTTGGGTTTGATTAAGATGGTGGGTTGAGTATGAAGTTGAACTTTCATTCAAGTGGGAAATTCTGGATTTGGTTTTATTGATATGGCTGAAATTTGCATTACACATTTACCATGAGAAGCAAAACAAAAAAGGCTGGGATCTCTTAAAACCATGTTTAGATTTAGCTTCTTCAAATGATCAATGCAACTTTTGATAAAAAAAAAAATAAAATAAAAATCATTGCAACTTCCTTGAGCAGAGTTTGGTTTCTGATCAATCAGTGTGGTGCAATAGTCTAGTGGAAGTCCAGTCGTGCCATTTTGATCTTAGCCTACTGTATTTATATCTTAGAGTGGAACTCATGAGTTTTCAAATATATTCTGGGGTTCTACAACCTTGATTTAGAACCTGAAAATGCCATTTAATATGATGCAACTGGAGAGCATATATAAAAAAAAACAAGAAAACCTTTGTAATTTTGTAATTTGGACAGCAGTACCATTCAGGTCGGTGAGGTATGGCGGCAGTGTCTATGCGTAGCAGGAGCAGAAGTATGGAGCTTTCGCCAGAGGAAGAAAGGATTTTGATAAGAGACATTGCTTTGGCTGCTGAAGCTAATTCCAAAGAGGGTGACATCTTCTACTTGCTTACTCAGAGGTTTGAACTTTGTGTCTTGTTTGTCTAAACATAATATTATTTTTCCTTAATAGCATGCTGCATTTGATTATTACTTTTTTTAAATTATCAGAAATTTGTTCTTCTTTGTGAAATGTTCATGTTTCAGTGTTTTTTAAATTGGTTTTTGTTAAAAGAAAAATCTTGGTTTGCTGCAAAAGGGGCTGTAAATTCATATGTTCTAATGAATGCTTTTGTTTTATGGGCTCATCTTGAATATGAAAATTGCTTCTAATGTCTTTTTAATTGGTTCCCAATATAGATGGTGGCAACATTGGATTGATTATGTGAACCAGGACCAACCCAATAACCCAAATGATGTATCCTTTGTGTCAGAGCATTATGATTCGGCTGGTTCCAGTACCTTGAAGAGGCCTGCTGGTATTGATAATTCTGACTTAATATATGATGCAGCATCAGCGGATACCAATTCGGGCATTGACATACATGATACTTTACTAGAAGGCCGTGATTATGTGTTGCTGCCACAAGAAGTTTGGAACCAATTGCATACATGGTGTGGAAATGTCATGCCTTTCTTTGTTATCCCTACCACTCTGGAAATTCGTATTCACATAGATGTTATTGTACACACACACACACACACACACACACACATATATATATCTATGTAAATGTAATGTGTTCAGATGTGGGAAATATTACTAGACTTCTGGTTGATGTCATTTTGTTTACTAGGAAATGATGAGAAAGGTATTGCATCATGCCTTATATAAGCAAACTCAGAAGTAATACTGAGACACCACTAATTGAATTGAATGAATTGTATTCTAGAGATTTGTTTCTTTCCTTTTTTTTTATTGTTGCAATGCAAACAGTTGATTGAGAAAAGTGAACATTTTCTGAATAAACCAGCCTTCTGTAAAATCCCTTTAGATTTGCATCAGTGACTGTACAGCATATACATACTTTGGATTGGAAGGAATAATGAAGACTGTACTTTCTCTCCTTACTCTTAAATGATTACCCTTGTGAACTGAAGTCAAGTTTCTTCTCTGTGTTTTCGACCTGTTGGATTTATCAATTTCTAAGTGTGGTTGGAGGATAATGTTTAGTCTAGAGTATTCCCTTCAAAAATAAAATAAAATTTAGGTGTAGACTACATGTGCTGTATTCCTGCAACATGAAGTGTAAATAGAATTAATAGTGTTTGCTGGTTATAGGTATGGTGGTGGTCCAACATTGCCAAGGAAAGTGATTAGTTCAGGTCTTTCTCAGACGGAGATGGCAGTAGAAGTGTACCCTCTGCGTCTTCAATTACTTGTGATGCCAAAAGGTGACCGCTCTATTATAAGAATAAGCAAGAAGGTAAAATAGGCAGGTCTTGATATACCACTTTCTTCAGTGGCAATTGTGCCTCTTTAGTAAGGTCTTACTAAGTATATGCTGATTTATTTATTTATTTATTTTGTTAACCTGAAGATTGAAATATTTTGGGCAGGAAACCATTGCAGAACTTCACAGAAGTGCTTGTGATATCTTTGATCTTAGCATGGAACAAGTAAAAGTTTCCTATGACTCTGCTACTACTGCATCTAGTTTCAGTGTCTTTATTTTAAATCTTTTATTCAGCAGCTCATTTACTCCAGCTATTTTGTTACTTAAGAGTTTCCTCACCTGAAGGTATGCATTTGGGATTACTATGGCCGCCGGAAACATGCACTGATGAACGACATGGATAAAACACTTGATGATGCCAATATACAGATGGATCAGGATGTGAGTCTTAGTTTGTTCCACCACTTTATTAGAACCACCGTGCAAAATTCTGCTTAAGCATAGGGCTTCATAATTTTCATATGATGGTACATAGGACCTTTCGTACGTTCACGTTCTGATTTAAGGCTACAGTTCCATAAAGATGTTTCTTCATCTTGGAATCTCGAACATATTACTCCTTTTGCATGATATCATCGGAAGATTCCTATATTCATAAATAGGTTATGGGTGTTTAAGTTTGAGTTGAAGTTTGCTTCAAAGCATCAAGTATGGATATATTGCTTTTGTGTTGCTGTGCACCAGAAACAGAATGTTTAATATTATTATTTACCATGTTGGTTTACAAAAGCATCTGTTTTGTTTGCACACTTTTTCTTTAAGAGGTATGTTGCCAGATCATGAGCCTCTGTATTTAGGATTGGTGCATTGATGTGCATTTTGACAAATCTTGACCATTCGATTAATCTGATGGAATTAAATCAGTACATGTAAGATTAGAATAAAACTCTCCGTTTTCACCTTACCACAATTCCATCTCTCTGCCTGTCTCTTTTCCCTTCCCTCAAGTCATCTTTCCACCTCTTCCGTAAAATCACAAAAAACTTTACACAGCTGTGTGGTTTGATAGTATCCAAATATCTACTATCTTTTATCCTAAAAGTATAACAGGATCCATAATATGTATGGATGGATGAGGGCGTCAAAGGCCTACTCTGGAAGTCTATAATTTTTTTTAATTCTTGGGTTGATGACATTAGTGAATCCTACTAATTCTGTCTTCCTCTCAGATTCAATTGAAGGACACGACACCCATGTTCTTTTCTTCCTTTATTTTTTTTAAATTTAAATTTAAATTTTTATGAAGAACACCCATTTCCATAACAACCACTCTAATCTTTCTTAAGAAGAAGGCAAATGGGATATTGTTTATGGGAATCAAATTCTAAATTTGGATACTTATGAAACAGCGGCTGTAGCTATTTGACTACTTGACATTTTGGAGAATAGAGGGGAAGACTACTAGATAGAAGGGAGAAGAGACTGTCATTGGAATTGGTTAGGGCTAAGGTGCAAAAAGAGAGTTTTATTCTTATCTGACGTGTACTGATTAATTCCATTAGGCTCCATTTGGGTGGAAGTGGGCTCCATTTGGATGGAAGTGGGTTTCATTTGGATGGAAGTATTTGAAAGAAATGATTGGATTCGACAACAAAGCTAAATTTGCTAAAGAAAAATTAGAAAACATTGGATTGTATGTATGTGAAATAACTTGATGTAATACATTTGAAATGAATTTGAAATGACTATATGCATCAAGTCATTTGAAATCCATTTGTTTTCTTTAGTTCCTTCTTATTCAAATCTTGGCATACATGGACTGTAGTAGTCAAAATAAACAGTTTAATGTTATAATGTCATCTAAATTCTTAGATTTGAAATCACCCCATCCAAATGGCCCTTAGCTTAATTGAATGGTAAAGATTCATTTAATTGCACATAAATGCACGATGCTAAATGCAGAAGCTCATGATCTGTGTTGTTCCAGTTAGAGAGTAAGATGTGTAGCTTCCTATGAAGTTAATAATTTCTTTCAGTCTATCATTTTTAGTTAATGATGCATTGCTACACAAAACTTGATGAGTTTAACATCTTGGTAAAAGTCATAGAGAGTAAAATGTGTAGCTTGGCCCCATGTCTAAATGCTGGAAAGCTTCCATACTGCAAGTGCTTATTACTCTACAGCTTTCTTTCTTCTTCTTCTTCTTCTTCTTCTTCTTCTTCTTCTTCTTCTGTTTTTGTCTTTTTCCCCCCTAATTTCATGTTGGTTTTGTTTTGTGATCAATTAAAACAGATTCTGGTGGAGGTGCTTAACCCTGTCAATGGTACCACATTGGGCAGATCCACAAGTTCTGTTCGCTACAATGGATCTTTAGAGAAGGAAGGTGCCTCTGTTCTTGTAGAGCCTTCTAAGTCAAGCTTGTCGATTGCAGGAGGTTTATCTGCAACCAAGGGCGCATCAAGAAGCTACAGCGTGGAGCTCATACAAAGTCAAGGCCTAATTGCTAGAGAATTGGATACTCCATATGGGACAATTGGTGTTAGTACTAGGGGGTCGTCTTGTGGCTTGACAGGGTTGCAGAACCTTGGGAATACTTGTTTTATGAATAGTGCTATACAGTGCCTTGTTCATACTCCGGAGTTTGCTAGATATTTTCGGGAAGACTATCATCAGGAGATAAACTGGCAAAATCCTCTGGGCATGGTTGTAAGTTTCTAATATAGTATATTTGCATGGTTACTTTTTATCTGAGTATCCTGAAACCTATAATTTTGTTGTTATAAAAGACAGCCAAATTTTGTGAATCAGTTTTTAAAATATAATATCCTTTTTTTTTTTTCCTAGTGTTGTCTTCTAAGTGGCTTTGTTGCTGCCATTTGCTAAACTCAAAAAGTTTATTTTATGAAGCATCCAATATCTAGCTGTATGTGACACTTGCACAAAATTATTGAGGTCAGACATAATTTCTGCTCCTTATTCTCCTTTTTGTTGAGCATTTTAGGATTTTCTAGATTGAGAAAAATTCAATAAGCACATGAATGATGAGTCGCTATTAGGATATCTTGAATATATGGTACATATTGTGAGAATTTTTATTAGCTTATGTCGTTCATGACTTGTGTAGTTATGGAAACACACAATTGATTTTAATATTTCCAGTTATCCTCTAGTTGACTTAGCCACAAGTTTTTTTTGGGTGCCTCTTGTGGATATGTTGTTGACAGTTATATTTTTGTCCACTTTATTTTGATAACCTGGTTTTGTTTCTCATGAATAGAAAACTAGCTTAGCTAGCTACCTTGCATCATGCTTGTGGTGATTGAATACTCAGCTAAACTCAACAAAGGCAGCCACAAGATTCCTTGTTTTGCATGTATCTATAGATATACATATTCCTAAATGTAGAAAGCGCTTCTCGAGAGGGAATCCTTTTTTTTCTTAACAAACGTGCAAAAATAATGTGTTCAATAACATGTCAATACTCATCAATGCATATTACATTTTTAGGTGTTTTAGTCTTGGATTGTTTAATCGCGTAAATGTTAGGTTTTAAGTATGACTTAAACAATTAAACCTGTCAATAGATGGGATCAAAGTTGAAAAAATTGAGCATAAGTGACATGCCTATGAATGCTAGTACTGAGAGCTTTATGAATGCTAGTAGTGAGACCTCCATGATTGCTTTTATGTTCAGTCAAACATATTTTCAAGGAGTACCTTGACTCTTCTTGAGGGTATTGCTGTAGATATCTTGTTAAAATTAGCATGTTGATTGAAATCCAAGCAAGCGATTTGAAGGATGTACTGAGATGGTGTTGATGTTTCTGTGTTTTCAAAATTTTACTGATTTGCTTTTTTGGCTGAATTATTTCACTGAATTGGTCAAAATGTAGGGTGAGCTAGCTCTAGCATTTGGTGAGTTACTTCGGAAGCTATGGGCACCTGGACGAACACCGGTTGCTCCTCGACCTTTTAAAACAAAACTTGCTCGTTTTGCACCTCAGTTTAGTGGTTACAATCAGCACGATTCTCAGGTTTGGTACTTAACACTATGTTTTCAGCAGCGTGCACACATGCAATTTGGATGAACTTAAAAGCTAATTGTTGTATCAGGAGCTTTTGGCATTTTTGCTAGATGGTCTTCATGAAGATCTGAATCGTGTGAAACACAAACCATATATAAAGTCTAGAGATGCTGATGGCCGGCCTGATGAAGACGTAGCTGATGAGTATTGGGCAAACCACATTGCTCGCAATGATTCTATAATTGTTGATGTCTGCCAAGTGAGTATGTCATTGAAAAAATTATATGTCAAAAAATTGTTGGTTAATGTTGCTCATTGTAAAAGTGCTTAACTTGTATGTAAACTTGCAAAAGTGCTGCCATTGTTACACTGCTGCTTCAAGTATTTTTTATTGTTATTCTTTGTTTGAATTTGAAGTTGATTCTGCTTGTTATCTTTTCTTCCTTTATGCTTTTTCAATCAAAGACGTACTAGATAATGCTAGATAGGGTTTGCAAGACACAACGCTTGTAAAATAGTGTCAATCTTTGCCATGATGTGGTATATTTGTAAAGAAAGAGATATGCCTTTGGTTGTGCTGGGTATCTCTCCATATGGTGGATGTGGATACCTGGATTCTTGCAATACCTGGTGTGTTGCAACTTCAAGTGCTGTTTTCTGTACACTGTTGGGATTTGGTGCTAGATGTCTATCTTGCTTCCTACTTGTATTTTGCTTGCAATTCTTTTTCCCTTGATTGTACAGTTTTCTTCTTATTGAACAAGTATCTTCTATACTTGGAAAGTTGAAGATTACATTATGAGGTTTTGTTAAATGATGCGTGCCCTCCCCACAACGTAGGTAGGTGATGCATACCTCCCTTGCTACCATTGTCATTGAACAATGTTATTAATGTATTAAAAGTATATTATTATCCAACATGTGGATAAAGCTTGGTGGTCAACCTTAATTTTATTTGATATGAAAATGTTCTTTCAAGGTGAGGAACTTACCCTTTTGTTCTTTCTTACACTCCTGATGCAGGAGCATCTACGAAGCTCTCTAAGATTACTTAGGCCCGTGACTCAATTGGGCTAGGGTTCCATTTACTTTAAATTATTAGTTACTTCTTTCGTTTTCCTATTCTTACTAGGATTTGGTTTAATTTCCTGTTTAGGTTTTTAATTTCCTATGTCAATTAGGTTTTCTGTATTCTAGTATAATTAGGCTAGTTAGAGACTCTTGTATTGAGTTTTTGTTGATGAATATAATTTCAGACTTTAGTCTTTAGAGTTTCTATTGGGATTTTGCCCTAGAACTCAATTATCTTCGTTCCAACTTCGATTCTACTGTTTTATCCTTCTATTCTCTGTATTTTGGGTGTGTTTGGGTTGCTGGACAATAGCTTATAGCCGCTGCCCTGCATCAACTCCTCATCACCTTACGGATCTCCTAAGAACAACTGCTACTCCTGCACCTTGCACCACTGCCCCAATCTTCTGTCAACCCCACCCTTGTACCACCTACATTAACTCAATTGTATGGTCCATCTAATCCTTCCACATATGTTCTCTCTCTTTTCTGTCCAGTTTCGTCACAATTCCTTCACCTGCAGTAAAGAAACCCAATGCTAATCTATTCCAAAAGCAGAGACATATTTTAATATTATCCTTGACAAGGGGAAGATCAAAGCCAATGGCTTTTGTAGCCATACAAAACAAGAAACACAATTGGCATAACCTTTATGGGCATTGGTTTTAAAGGTTGTCGCTATATTGGGTAAGTTAGTACTGCTCTGAGTCTCTGACAGTTTTGCTGGATTTATGTTTTCAGTCTAAGGAACTTCTGGTTTGAGCAATGTGGAGGTTTAGTGGTACTTATATGTCATGGAGATTTGGTTAGTTTTGCACCTTTATCGTTGGATGCTCAAGCGAGGCTCGTTTACTAATGTTTTGTCATTTGAACCTCTCATCTCCAGCTATTGGAGTGGTTTTGTCAAACTTTAAACATGTTTTTCTTTTTAAATAGATTTTTGAGGCTGGCTTATGAAATTTTAGGTTTTTCGAAGTTTTAAGACAATCTTGTAGGTTTGGGGTATTTGGATTCTTATCTGGTTTATATCTTAAGGTAATTGATTAGAGCTTTTATGTGCATTTGGGAAATTAGTATCTTGGGGACTCAAGTGATGGATTTGTATTGGAGCTTGGGTGGGTCTGGAATCCGAAGAAATTTAGCATGATATCAAGAGTGGTGGAGGTAGCTTCAAGATGAGTTGCTGTAGAGTGTCTTTTGATCCGAAAAAAAAGGCAGAGACAAAAGACAGGGATGTGGTAGAGTGCAAATTGATGACCAGTGACAGCTCCTTAACTTCTGGAGGTTAGCATCACATCTGAAAAGTTCAAATGTGGGGCCTGTTATTTGAACACTTCGATAGGAAAGCGTGTGCTGTTTAAGCAAACCACAGGGAAGTTTATGTTATTGTCTGAGTTAGACAGAAACATAGAAGTTATTTTTATTTTTTGTTAAATACCCCTTGAATTTTCCTCTTTAAAGTTCTAAGTTGTTGTCTGTTGACATACCAATTGTTTTGATTTGCTGCCACGAGTCACATGCAACACTTAGTTAACGTTAGGTGACACTTCCAGGATGACATACAATCCTAAGGTTTTTGCTCATAACCTTCTGAGGCTCGTCAACCTCAAAATCTCATCATGAGTAAACCTCAAACCAGTATATGGCAACTTGCCACTCATTTGGCTTAGCTGGTGCCTAAGTTTAAATATGTTGGTTGTAAATCTAGGTTTGTACTTTGTAAGTGTTTCCTTATCCCTTGTATGATTCTTCTCCTAGTGGGATAATTCTATGGCCTATTTGTTCTGACAATTCTATTCATGGAATAAGCAAATGATGGTTTTTGACTTTTCTTTGAATTTATTTTTTTGATTACGTTATATGATGCATCAATTATAAGCTTCCTGATTTTGTATCTCATTTATCAAAATAAAATCCTATTTTTACTGTTTAATGCTATGAAGGTCAGTGAGTCATGGCTTGGCATTTTCAAATCTAGATATGTTTTTACTGAATCTGGATCCTAATCGAAATGCTTATCCTGGTAGTTTGTATAAATGACATTTTTGGCTGTGCTTATAAGGACTAAGAAAATATTGTTTGATAAGTGCTAACAAGATTGTCTTTATATGTCAGCTCAGCATAAATCCCCTAATTAAACGCTCCTACAGAATGTGTTTTTAAAACTTCATTACTTCAATCCATATATACAAGTACAAAATAGTTTTTACTCACGGTTATGATGTTTCCTGTTTTACAGGGCCAGTATAAGTCAACTTTGGTTTGTCCCATTTGCAATAAAGTCTCTGTTACTTTTGATCCTTTTATGTACCTTTCGTTGCCACTCCAGTCCACCACCACTAGAACAATGACAGTAACAGTTTTTACTTCCGATGGAAGTGCATTGCCATCTGCTTGTACTGTCACAGTCCCTAAACAGGGACGTTGCAGGGACTTGATCCAGATGCTTAGTAATGCTAGTTCTGTAAAGCACAGTGAGAAGCTTTTGCTTGTGGAGGTCTGTAGCATTTACATTTGGAATCTGATGCTTCTGTTCTTCTTTCAGAATGTGTATGGTTGGTTGAACTTATTCAATTTGTGGTTCACAGATACAACACCATATGATTCAGAGATTTTTAGAAGACCCATTAATATCATTATCTACCATCAAAGATGACGACCATCTTGCTGCTTTTAAGGTTCCAAAGTTGGCAAACACAAAATATCTTCAATTGATACACCGCCGTCGAGAGCAGTATGTATACTTTGATCTTGGCCTTATAGTCTGCACTGTGCTTAGAAAGGCTGTCACCCACTCACCCCAAGTTTGATTCCCGTGTTTTCCTTGTTTGATTAGTCCCTGATCTTAAACATTTTGCGCTTAACTAATTTAGCCATTTTTATATGTATCCTGAAAAAAGGCTGGTTGTTTAGTTAAGACTGCAAAAATGTCGTTTTCCAAGAGCAGTTTGTCACATTTTCCTAATCAGAACAGCATGTAAAATGATTAATGTGGTGTTGACTTGTCTTTCTCATTTTGAATCATAAACAACAAAATTGATGTGGTGTTGATTTGTCTTTCACTCTGAACTATAAACAACTGCACTTGTTTTTCTGGAGTTATCTGGTAGATTGATCATTTTATAGCTTCTTCTACTAACTTTTAATTGTCTCCTAGAGGAAATAGTGATTCGCAGATCACATCAGGATGGAAACCCTATGGAACACCTCTTGTCTTGCCAATCTCATGTGACGATGAAATTATTGGAGGCAACATACTGATGATGGTTCATAAAATGCTCTCTCCAATGCTTAGAACTAAAAGTTTGGAGCATACTAAGATATCTGGTCTAAGCTCTGCAACAGAAGGATCAGACCCCTCTCTTGATTTGTGTTCCGGCGGAGCATGTACTGATTCTGTTGTATCAAATTCAGCAAATAAGGATATCACTAGTTCTAAACCAGTGTCTTCTCTAGAATTGCCTCTTCAGTTGGTCGGTGAAAATAATACATGCACTGATCTATGGGTGGGGGTAGAGAAAGCCATCAGGCTGGCCTCATCATCAACATCAATACTAATATATGTTGATTGGTCACAGAAGTTTTTAGAAAAGTATGACACCCATTATCTGGAAAACTTGCCAGAAGTTTTTAAGTATGGACCTGTAACAAAGAAAGCCCGCACTGAACCTCTCTCGTTGTACACCTGCCTTGAAGCTTTTCTAAGGGAAGAACCACTAGTACCTGAAGATATGTGGTTAGTCTCTCTCTCTCTCTCTCTGTTCAAAGTCACACAAATGATAATATAGAATTATAGGTAACTACATAAGGCTTCAGGTGTGTGCGGGATCCAATGCCTTTTTTATATTAATTAGGTGTAGAATCGTTTAGGGCTTAGCTCTCGCCTAGAGGGTTTATTATTTTTTCGGTGTTGAATTGCCATTTAGGGCTTAGCTCCTGGGTTTTGTGCACCCAAAACCCTAGAGCTAAGACCTAAACGGACGCATTTTATTCACATTTAATGTGCCCTTTGAACATCAAGAGGTGCTATTTGGATGGAGCAGTATCCAGGAGTGTGGTATCCTGCTTAACAAGCAGATTAATGATAACTATATATCCATGCATCACTATATCCATGATGGATTAGAAGGAAATTTATGGTTTTCTGCATTGTGGGATGAACCAAATAGTTTTATTTTTCAAATGGTTTGGCAGTGTCAATTTCACCTTTGGTCCCCAAGAACTTTTGTGAGAATTCCACCTTTGTTGCTACAGAAGATGGTGCGAGTATTTTCTTTTGGAATTTGAGTGCAATTGTTACATGATTGCAAATGCCTTACAATTGTTACTTTACAGATGAACGAGTTGTTAAAACTTATACTTAGGGAGCCAGATTTTTGAGCTTTATGAAGCAACTTTAGAATGAAGCATTTTTAAATTTCTAGTATAAAATAGTTCTGTGGTTGTAGTCTAGCAAAGTATCTAAACTGTCAAAATATTATGCTGGTATCTGATAAAGAGTCATCTGTCTAGTTATTTCCTTTTGTTGAAAGAGGAAACATTGCCATTCATCTACGAAATATGACCTATTAATAAAATATACGGTGAAGGTACTGTCCCCAGTGCAAGGAGCGAAGGCAAGCAAGTAAAAAGCTTGATCTATGGAGGCTTCCAGAAGTGTTAGTCATCCATCTAAAGAGGTTCTCGTACAGTAGGTCGATGAAGCATAAACTGGAAACCTTTGTTGACTTTCCGATTCATGACTTTGATCTAACAAATTATGTAGCTAGCAAGAAAAATGCTCGACGTCAACTTTACGAACTCTATGCCTTGACCAACCACATTGGCGGAATGGGTAGCGGGCACTACACTGCACATATCAAGGTGAGTATCTGAAAGGATTTCTTTGGTTGAAATATCAGCTGCATTTGGTATAAGTCTTCTTATCGACTGTCATTGTTGTACAGCTTCTAGATGAGAACAGGTGGTATAGTTTTGATGATAGTTGTGTATCGCCCATAAATGAAGAAGAGGTGAAGTCAGGAGCTGCATATGTACTCTTTTATCGGCGTGTTATGACTGAAGATGCCGATGCTAGCTGCTAAAAATGTGGTCCAATCCTGTGCAGGTGAGGTGACGACAATGTTTAATCACAAAACTAGCCTCTCTAGGGCATGTATATTTCTTGCAAACCCTCGGTTTGTAATAGAAACAAGCTAAAGCCAAGCTCGGTTTGTTTAAGAGACAAGTCAAGCTGGGGCTTAGGCATGTTCGTCTCTTAAAGCTAGTGTTCTTAGCAGTGTCATGTCTCTATTTTTTTAAAATTTTATGTTGAAAATGTATTTGTTTACTATAAAATATCCATGTCCTTGTTGCTATTTGTTAATTACTATCATAGTAAAATATCCATGTCCTTGTTGCTATTCGAAGAAAATATCATTTTTTTGAGCTGGCAATATTTTGGCGAAATACTATCTAGTTATTGTGATAATTTCGATATTATAGTTTTGAATTCTGACCTTGATATTTTCCTTCATTATGTTGATTTATTTATTAAATACATCGCTATAATTTCGATAATATCGTGAAATAAATATAAACATGTCAAAAATTATTTAAGAAAATCCATCGCGTGCTTGCAAGGCCTGGGATTTGAACCGTTGTCAACATGGTAAAAATTATCTTTAAACTATTTTCAAGTACTTGAGTTAAAAACATATGCTTCTTTTTTAACTTTTTAATTTTTTTTTGGGTCCTTTATTCATTTTTTAAGACTAGGAAAGATGGACTATAAGGTTCTTTGGACATGCAGGGCTCGTTTATTACACAGGATTGTCTTGGCATGAATTATATTTAGGGACTGTCTGGGCTTAGCTTGGCTTGGCTTGGTTTAAGTTGGATAATACTTATCCTGCATTTGGTTTATGCTTGGATTAGGACTAGATTTTTTTATTTTTTCAAAACTATATATATATATATATTTATTTATTTACATTTATATTATAATATATAATATATATATATGGGTATGTTATAATAATAATATACATGTATATACATGTATGTATATAGGTGTGTATATTTATATTATAATACATACATGGGTATAATATATATACACATGTATATATATGTGTATATATATGTATATATATATATATATTACATATACACACGTATGCTATTATTATAATATTAATATGTATGTGTATATGGGTATATTATAATAATAATATACGTGTATATATGTATATGTATGTTATATATATTATATATGTATATATGTGCATATATATATATATTTATTTATCTATGTGTATGTATATATATACATATATTATATATGTATATATACGTGTATATATATACATTATAGTATATGTGTATGTAAGTATAATATAATATAATATAATATAATAATAATAAAAAATGTTATTAGTATTACAATATAATATATGCATTTTATACATTGGTGAGCATGGGACTAGCTAATCCTCCTTTTTCACATGGGTTTAATAGTCCCCTCATAAGGAGGTTTTTGGTGGGCCTGGTATTAGCAATCTCATTTAAGACTAAGATTAGATAAAACAAACATGGTACTAAATTTAGTCCAAGCCAAGCTTGTGTAACAAACGACCCCCGTAAGGTATTAATTATCGATTTTCGACAATTTTAAATAAAAAATTAATATAAGGAAGTGTGATATCATTGAAAAAAGGAAAAATTCAACTTAGACCCCTGAAGTTTGTCATAATTATAGTCAGAAATTATAGGTTTCATTTAGGGAGCTTTAGTTTTCACACACAATATAGTTTACTATTTAGGTAAATAGGAATTCAATTTCAGCTAATTAGGATGATGCCAAAAGCCAAAATATAGTACTTGCTTTTACCATAATATAATTAAAGAACATTAAAATTACAACATATCCCATTATGCCATTAAATTCAAATTTCAATATTTAGTTTCAAATTTACAAAACATGCCATTATCCCATTCGCGTGAGTATTCGTCTTCACCTCAAGAAACCACCTTCCACATTTTCACACTATTCCCAAAAACTCAGACGATGATCGTTCATGGTAAACCACGATCAACGACGACCACGAACGATCGAAGCCGATTCTTTCTCTTGAAAAAAAACTTTAAGAAAATCAACGCTCTAACACAAATTTCCCTTCGATTTTAGGGTTTTAGGATTCTAGACAGTTTAGCTACTGTTCGTTATGCATGCTTCCTTTGGAAAAATGGATGACTCTTTGGATTCACAACTACTCTTGGTTTAGGTTTTGCCTTCGTTTATAGGGATTAAAGACTTTAGAAATTTTACCTACTATTCATTCTTCATTCTACAATGTAGTTTAGGTTTGAAAACCTCTAAAAACCAAAAAATCACCAAAGAAAGAGAAACAACATCAAATATATCTATTTTCTGCACTGAAGAAAATAGAAACTGCACTGAAGTTTCCAGTTTAGTTTGTAGTTCTTGTTTTGACTATGCTGATCTTTCCATTTCATGTCAAGTAGATGTATATTTTCTGTTATATTTTGTGTTTTGGATTGCTCCTATTATATTTCTATTATGTTTGATGTTTTGCGTTTTGGTTGCTCCTTTTAAAAGAGGAAAAGCATCAAATATTTTTGTTTTCTGCATTGCAAATAATTGATGTCCATTTCTCGGCTTCAATTCGTCATTGAGAATTCAATACCATCAATTTCTGTCGAATCCCTTCTATCAAAGGTAGCACCGGCAAATCTCGAAATACACCAACCTAGTTATTAAACGACTCGACTAAACTGTTTGCCATCTCCCCATAACGCATTCCTTTGAAAAATGCATTGGTATAGTGATCTCTAGACAAGTCAGAAATAAATGTCTTCACTTTCGAACTCCCAACAATCACCAACCCATCCATTGTTACTTTAAACTCTTCCTCCATAACAGCATATGCACATCTACTAAATAGATTGATAACACAGTCTTGGAGCAGTTTCTCATAACTTGACTTCAGGTACTTCAATATCAAATTTTGTTTGAGGTGATAGTAACAGTAGGAATGCGGTCATCCAGGAAACACAGCCCCCATTGCATTTAACAAACCTTTATTACGGTCCGAGAAAAAAGTCACCTTTCTCCCCATTGGTAACAATATAGTAGCCAAATGTTGAAGAAACCAAGTCTAATTCTCCTCTGTTTTAGAATCAACAACTCCAAAAACTAGAGGATAAAATTCTGCAAAACAAAACCAAAAGCACAAGTATAAGCAACAAACGGAAACTGCAGTGCAGTTTATGAAAACAAATCTGCTCAAATTTGAAAGGAAACCAAAAGGCAAATCCATGATCAAAGTACTAAAACTAAGTTCAAAACACATATAAGTCCATGAGCGGGTGTAACATTCCCATACACATGCAAATATTATTATGAAATTAAATTATGAAACAAGAAACTGCTCTGGTAAAAAACTGCAACAAATGGAACTGCAATGCAATTTTTGAAAACAAATCTGTTCAAGTGTGAAAAGAAAACTAAAGGAAAAGCCATGATCAAAGTACTAAAACTAAGTTCAAAACACATTTAAGTTCATGAGCAGTTGCAACATTCCCATAGACTTGCAAAAATTATTCGAAAATCGAATTATGAAACAAGAAACTGCAGTGCAGTTTCTATTTAAAACATGCTACAAATGGAATCTACAGTGCAGTTTATGAATGCTCAACAAACAATTGATAACACAAAACAGTAAACATAAACTGCAATGCAGAGTACAGAAAATAACAGCAGTATTACAAAAACAGTAATGCAGATTACACAAAAATCCAATACAGTACAATAACCATACCTTGATTCCCATTCTTTCCGAAAGCACAAAGAAGTTGCCCCTTATACTTGCTATACAAAAATGTAGCATCAATGAACAACAAGGGGATGCAATATTGAAATCCAGCAATGGAATCGCCAAACGATACAAAAAACTTGCACAGAGCTATTAATTCCAGCTTCACATTTAAGCTTGCACAGAGAACCACGGTTGGTTTCCTTTACGGCGTCCGCATACCACACTAACTCGTTGAAGGACTTCGACTCGTCACTATGAACGTCTAGTTTCGCTAACTCTTTGCCAAATCATGCGTGGTAGTATGAAATGTCTATACTATAATAATCTATGAACTCATTTATAATCTCAACTGGCTTTAGCTCTGGTTTTGCACGAATTCTGTCCACAAAGAGAGCAGACACCACACAAGACCTCATCATCTTACTCTTTGATTCCTGTATTCGACCGCACATGTTACAAAACAGCTAGTAGCTTCACAACTAGAAGCATAAACAAGCCAACTACAACCCAACAACTTCTTATTCGAACAATAAAAAATTTAATCCTACTTCAAGAGCATACTTGCACAATTTCAACCGGAACTCCTCTACACCACTGTCGAACTTTTGCCTACATAATGTATGTACGTCTCCCACTCATTCGACAACAAAGGCTTAGCACTTGCTCTCTTTGACTTGCCCAAAAATTTATTTCTATCTTCAGCAGTACTAGAACACGATGACTCGCCCTTTTCACATGCTATCAACTCCTTATTTCCCAAAAAATCACCATTATCCACACTGCTCCTGCATAAATCCTTAACTAAAATTTCCACGCTCTTCACATTTGATATCGACAAATATGCCATCATCATGTCTACATCACTATCCGTTTCTAGTAAACAACTCGAATAACCGGGTAGCGAATACCGTAACGTGAAACTACCCAACTGTAAACCCCTAAACCTTAGACACAAAGTCTTCGAAACATTAACTATGGATGACTTTGCTGAAACTGAAAACATAATGCTTTCAAACTTATATGTGCACTTGGCTATGACCCAAACCTTCATTAGCCTTGAAAATGCAAACAAAACAACAAAGAAAAATAGAAAAAAATTCAAATCAGTAAATAATGTAGATGAGCAGTTGTAACATTCCCATATACTTGCAAATATTAGTCTGAAATCGAATTATGAAACAAGAAACTGCACTGCAATGTCTAGTCAAAAACTGCAACAAACGGAAACTGCAGTGCAGTTTATGAAAACAAATTTGCTCAAGTGTGAAAAGAAACCAAAAGGCAAAGCCATGATAAAAGTACTAAAACAAAGTTCAAAACACAATTAACATTCCCATAGAATAGTAAAAATTATTCTGAAATCAAAATATGGAACAGGAAACTGCAAGTTTTTGATAAAAAACTAAAATAAACGGAAACTACAGTGCAGTATATGACAAAACATATGCTCAAATTTGAATAGAAACCAAAAGGAAAAGCCATGATCAAAGTACAAAAAGTAAGTTCAAAACACATTCAAGTCCATAGGCAGTTGTAACATTCTCAGATAATAGCAAAAATTATTCTGAAATTAAAATATGGAACAAGAAACTGCACTGCAGTTTTTGATAAAAAAAACTGAAATAAACAGCAACTGCAGTGCAATTTTTGAGGAAACATATGCTCACATTTGAATAGAAACCAAAAGGAAAAGTCATGTTCAAAGTACTAAAACTAAGTTCAAAACATATTCAAGTCCATAAGCAGTTGTAACATTCCCATACACTTGCAATGCAGTTTATGAAACAAGAAACTGCAAAAATTGCAACAAACAGAAATGACAATGCAATTTATGATAGAAAATAAAAAAACTTCGAATAGAAACCAAAAGGAAACCACCATCAAAGTACTAAAACTAAATTCCAAAAACATATAAGTCGATATAAACGAAAAAAGGTTCTCAAGTACTCATACCTCAACACCTAGGACTGCCAAAAATCTCCCCAACCAAACAGCAGCTCAAAATCAAATCTAATCACAAAACGAAGAAGATAGGGTTTAGCATTGAATGCCACAAGATTGCGCCACAAAATCGAGCCACAAAACTGAGCTCGAAATACCCGAACTAAGGAGAAATAAATCGCCCAAAAGTGACCTTGATTCTGCATGCGAAAGCAAAATTACACCCAGAACATAAAGATCAATCTAAATAACAGAAAATATAATCAGAATAAAACATAAAAACGAAGAAAATCAAACGAAAACCTACCAGAAAATCAAAGCTCCAATTGCAGCTAAGTGAACCAGAGCTCCAAAACCTCAAAGCTGAACGAAAACGAAAGAGAAGCTAAAATCGTGCGTAGTTTAAACAGCCAGGGGTAAAAAAGTCATTTAGTTTGTAAGTTTTAAAGTTGGGCCAGGCTTTTTAAGAAGAAGGATAGTATTGTCTTTTCAGTTGTTGAGGCCCAAAAAAGTCACGGTTCGGCCCAAATAAATTCTCGGCTCAATGCAATACCTTACCGAGAAGAAATCGGATTTGGGCACGCGAAAGTTCGTCATATGCGCTTGCACACATGCCACGCCAAGCAAATAAGCAACACGCCACGCTACAAGCTTAAGTGGGCCCAAGCCACGCAAGATGCCTGGGGCTTGCTTGAGTGGGTTGTGGTATGGATGGTAATAAGTTGACATGAGGCCCATTGATGGGCCAATAAATGGAAGTCCTGGGGTTGCTTGGGAGCCTCAGAACTCAGGCCCATTTCTTAGGCCCAAACATGTGGGTGAGCACAAAGAGAAAATATCCCAACCAAAAAGCCCAACCGAAATAGCCCATTAGCTTAACCAAATTAGCCCAACACCTCAACAAAAAATTGGCCAACACTTGTTGAGGTTAGCCCATTTATTTTGACAAACCAACCCATTATCTTAGAAGGCCCATACAATTAGAAATGAGAAGCTGCAAAGCTCCAGCACCTGGCTGAATAACAAAGCCACGAAGGGAAGTATGGAGGTCCACTATGCAAAGTTGCTGGGAAGTTCCAGCACATGGGAGGAACAAGTTTCAAGTAAAAACTTCCAAAGGACCAAGGGATATTGGAGCGTAGATCACCATTTGAACCAGCATGCATACCCATTCTCTTTCCCTCATCAGACCTGGCCATAAAAAAAAGGAAGAAAGGAAAGGAAGGAGATGGCTGAAAATGGGAGTTCTGAGGCAGCTGCGGGAAAAGGCCTTGAGCTCCCAAAAATCCCTGATTTTGTGGGATTGGGCAGAGTGGATTTCACAAAAATAGGATGATTGAAGGGATGAGGGGAGAAAGGAAGGGAAAGACTTGGCCAAATTGGATAGAAGCCATTAGGGTTTCTTGGAAAATAGTAGCTTCCAGCGCCTATAAAAATAAACATTTCCTACCCATCATCACAAGACACATCTGGGGAGCAAGCTTCCTCTCTCACCTGCAAAACTCAGTAATTTCGTGCTTTGCTTGCCCATCTCCCCCATTTTTCTTCTTCTGGCAGATTGTTTCAACACTTGACAGAGTCTTTGTCAAGTTGCCAGAAGAAACAATCAAGCCACCCATCCCTTTCTCTCCCTCCTTTCTCAGCCAAATCTTCTTGCAAACCTTCCATTTCTTACCTTAACACTCCCCTTTTCCCCCAAATACGCATAATTTTCTCTTCGATGCTAAACTCATGTCGATTTTGCTCCCATGCCACAAGCTTCTCATGCCAAGCCAAGAATTTATCTGTAAGCAGCCATTATTTTCGTTGGTGAAGGTAACCAAGGTGTTTCCTAAGGCTTTACAACAATTTCGAAATATTTTGGGGTTTGATCTTTGAACTCAGACACAAGGGGGATATTTTCTTTAGTTTTCTCCTTACGGCAGCCCAGGCCCGCAATAGCTGCCGGAACCAAAAAGACCCCTACATCAATTTTTATTTTTAAGCTGGCCCAATGAATCTGGGCCTCCTCTTTGGCCTAATCCAAAATAAAAATTCTTTCCTAGGTATTAAAACCCAAACAAAAATACCCAATGTCCCAAATACTAATTAGTAAAGTTAGTTATGTCTAATACATAATTTTTCTTTGATTTTAAACTAAAGCTGCCTTAATTTTTTATTTTTTTTAATGTGTAATGTTTTGAAATCTGATGGGGTGTTTGTGTAATTTTCAAAACTTGAAAGGTTTTAGACCATCTCCAACCCAAGAGGTGAAATGTCAAAATTTGAGTTTTGAGCACAAAATCCATCTCCAACCCAGGCAGAATATTGGGCGGGATACTAGTCTGGATATTGCCCGGACTGATAATTTTTGTGGAGCCCAATAGCCAACTGTGCAGCCCACGTGAAAGGAAAAAAAAGCTGGCCATGTGCTGCAAATTGATGTCGACCACTCCCATCCTTTCCGTGTGACAAGTGTCATGGGCACATCAAGGAGGCGTTGAAATCCAACAGTCCATTTTGAAAGTTCATGATCCATTGTTTTTTAAAATACCAACAGTTATTCCAAAGAAGTTGATGTTTCCCATTTTATTTTATTTTAAATTCCAACATCTATATATAATCAATGGCCACGATTATTTTTAGGCAATCTCGATTGGAAAAATTCACATCAAATGGCCGAAATTTAAATCCAATGGTAAAATAATTTTTGTAATTAATCTAAATTAGATCTAACCTCAAAACTCATCCCAAACTCTATAAATATCCATCTTTTTGTTATACTTGCTTTTATTCTTTAAGTGAAATTATTTTTAGATTTTTTATGTTCAGAAAATTAAATCATGAATGTTGAAACAAAAATAATGTCAAGAAAAATTAACGATAAAAAAAATAAAATAAGGATTAACCATTCTTAAACAATTTAATAAAGTTGCGGACTCAAATTATGAGTCTGCAAGGTTGGAGCAAAAAACAATTTGAATCCTAAAGATACATGAATAGTTATATTTTAGAGGGTGAAAATTTGAGTTTAGCCTCAACATGGTTGGAGATGGTCGTAGGAAACGACTTCGTTCTTTGTCGAAAATTTCTTCTTCCTTCTCGACTCGACGCTCAGCTCTCTCAGCCAGCCAGCCACGCCAGTTCAGCCTCTAACTCTCTCTCTCTCTCTCTCTCTCTCTCTCTCTCTCATTTCGATACCTCAGTTTTAGCCTCTCAATCTCCAATCTTGGCGTTAACCACTTCGAATCTTGAAGTGGGTGTTCACTGTCATCTCAGTCTCAGATAAACCTCCTCTTCCTCAACCTACTCGGTATGTGCTTTCCAATTTAGTGAAATTACGTTTGTTCTGTGAAATTTATATCAGGGTTTGTGTAGAAATTAGTTTGGGCTTCGGTTTTAATTAGGCTGTTGGAGTTTTTGGATTAAATTTAACCTTGATGCCTAAAGGTTTACCTGTTGATTAACATCATATCTACCTTATTCTTTCCTTGCTTTTATACACATTGCTTTTCTTGATGCCTAATTTGGAGTTTTCGGATTTGAGGCTTGTTGTGCGGTATCCTTGGTTTACTGCTGGCTGTAAATGTGGTTCAAGATATACTGGATTAGATGTTATTTGTTTGAATGAGGAATTGCGTTATGTTCAGGTCTATGGTAAAGGAGATTTCATTATGGGAATTCCAAGCCTCCGCATTTACAGAGTGTGCATTTACACGCATTTTGCAAAGTCTGGGACATTCAAATAATCTTATGACGGTAGGTAGAAACCTCAAACCTTTTTATGCAGTGAGTAGATAAGGATTATTGCTCTGCAAAACATGGGAGGGGGGGAAATACGTTTCCAAGTTTGAGGGCCATGGTGGGTTTTCGACGGTTTCATCCTATTTCAATAGAACGTGCCAGAAGAAACTGATAAGATGAGCAACTGCTCTGGAGTTGGGTCTGTACTCTGTACCTCTTTTCTTTTCTTTTTAATTTTTTTAAAGTTCTGCGTAATTGTTGTTTTACAATTATACCATGCTTTAATTAAAATCGGTGTGTTTAAAAATTTTAGTTTAGCAAGGGTAATTTCGGGATTTTTGAATGTTTCACTCTTCTCTCCCTTTTGCTTTATATATATAGATAAACCTAAAAAAAATACCAAGATAACAGTAACATAAAAATAAACAATGTGTTCCAGTTTTTATTATATAAACTAAAAAGAAATTAATATAATAGTAACATAAAAATACACATTGTTTTGGAGTTTCTATTATAAACCTAAAAAAACATATCAATATAAGAGTACCAAAAAAGTACACACTATGTCGTACTTTCAATTCTATAAACCTTTTACTGTTAATATAAATATTTTGTGAATGAGAAAATATCACAAAAATAATATTGAGGGTCAAGGTTCGAGTCTCTTAATGAACATAAAATTTGCACATTTTTTAAGGGTGAGTAAAGGGCACCGGAGGTGGTGGTGGTATTTGGTCGGGCGGTGATTGTCTCTGCGGTGGGTGGCGTCAATCGGCAGTGGGTGGTCGCCAAAAGTGGGTCCTCACATTGTGTGATTGATTTTAAATAAATTTGTTAAAATATTAGAATGGAAGTGTGTAATTTTAAGATATTTTAATTACATTATTGTAAAATTGAATATTATATTTTAGCTATTGACCAAATCTAAATTAGACGAAATTGGATTATCATCTACCACAATAGTAACTTCTCATCTTTTATTTATTTTTTCTTTTTTTAATGTGTAAGGTTTTGAAATCTTAAGGGGTGTTTGTGTAATTTTCAAAACATGAAAGGGTTTTAGGGGGTGTTAATTCGAAAACGACTTCGTTCTTTGTCGAAAATTTCTTCTTCCTTCTCGACTCGACGCTCAGCTCTCTCAGCCAGCCACCCACGTCAGGTCAGCCTCTAATTCTCTCTCTCTCTCTCATTTCGATGATCTCAGCCTCCTCTAATTCTCTCTCTCATTTCGATACCCTCAGTCTTAGCCTCTCAATCTCCAATCTTGGCGTCAACCCCTTCGAATCTTGAAGCGGGTGTTCGCTGTCATCTCAGTCTCAGATAAACCTTCTCTTCCTCAACCTACCCGGTATGTGCTTTCCAATTTAGTGAAATTACGTTTATTCTGTGAAATTTATATTAGGGTTTATGTAGAAATTAGTTTGGGGCTTCGGTTTTAATTAGGCTGTTGGAGTTTTCGGATTAAATTTAACCTTGATGCCTAAAGGTTTACCTGTTTATTAACATCATATATGCCTTATTCTTTCCTTTCTTTTATACACACTGCTTTTCTTGATGCCTAATTTGGAGTTTTCGGATTTGATGCTTGTTGTGCGGTATCCGTGGTTTACTGCTGGCCGTGAATGTGGTTCAAGATATATTGGATTAGATGTTATTTGTCTGAATGAGGAATTGGGTTATGTTCTGGTCTATGGTAAAGGAGATTTCATTATGGGAATCCCGAGCCTCCGCATTTACAGTGTGCATTTACACGCATTTTGCAAAATCTGGGACATTCAAATAATCTTATGACTGTAGGTAGGCCACATCAGCTTTGGTAAAGGAGATTTCATTATGGGTCTTATCTTTTCTGTTGTATTAGTATCAGACAATCAGATTATAGACAATTTCTGATTCATTGTGATCATAAGCTGTTCAAGAATGGTTTGGTATTTTTGTGATCATAACCAGATTAAATGAGTAAAGTGTTACTGATTTATGTTTTTAGGATATTGTGAATTGGACTGAAATTGGTTACGTTCTCAGTCAGTGTATTTGGAATCTTAATGTGAATAGTAACTTTGATTGGACCTGTATCTTTTGGGAAATTAGTGTTACAAACATGGTTGTTCATACTTAAATTGTTGTTTAATTGGCATTTGGTCATGCATTAATTGGACAGTCTGCTCCAATAATGATTACAGACAACTAAAAAGAGACACTTACCATAGCAATGGGGATTACATATGTGAAAACCATGTGGTTTAATTTTGTATGTAATGCTCTTTTCCTCTATCAGTGTAGATGGAATCTTAATTTTGAATAATAACTTTCGTTTTGGCATTATTTTCATGCAGTGCTGTCCCTGCAGCTCCCTCTGCTGCTCCTGAGCAAGAGAAGGGGAAGGAAGAATATAAGGATGTTAGTTTTAATCAATTGGTTCGACTTCTATCAATGTTGGCATTTTTGAAATATGGCATGTCATCTTATTAAGATACACATTTGTTAATTACTGCCCTTGATGTAGATGTCATTTCCTCTTAAATTTCAGAGTAAAGGTATCACTGAGCCAATTTCATTTGGGCAGCAGAAGTTAGCATCCATGGCATCTGGTGGTGGTCGAGTAATTGGAGTTGCGGTATTGTTCCGCTCCTCCCCACCATATTCTTTTGAATGAAACTTTATGCATTTTTTATTCTTTTAATTTTTTCAATGGTAACAATTAAGAAATAAATAAAGGACATGTCAGCATTTTTACTATTTCTTATTAAGATATACATTTATTATTTATTGTGTTACCCTTGATGGAGATGCCATCCATCCTTCATAAAGTCCAACCAACGAATTCTCGGCGCTTCCTAAGTGCTCCTGACAGGAAGCTTATGCTTGAGAAGTTCTGAAGGCCACGATCTCTCATGCCTGTCATGGACTCACCTCAATTATTGTATAAGGGGATTCTAAATCCTTAACCAATGTGATACTCCCTGGCGTCGATTGGCAGGATTGTTTGAGAGATTTAATCAGACGCATGTTCAGAGAAGCAAACTTTTTGGTGGTATTGGTCATCAAAATTATAAATATATGTAAACATTGTAATTGTTTAAGTTGACCTAGCACAACAATCCAAGTTTCACCACTCTCTCTCTCTCTCTCTCTCTCTTAATTTTTGTTTACCCGTTTTGATGTAATTCCTGTTGTGGTAGGGTAAAGTTCCCCATTGACCTAAAAACCATTGATGGTCAACAAGTCAACTTTCTTTTGTGTGCGAGAGTGCCACTTTTAATGGTTAAAACACCCTAATAGACTATGAATTGAAATAACTTGTGCAAGTTATTGACTTTGATCAAGAGATTGTGAATTTAGGTGAGGAATATCTCCCAAGTACGTTCTTTTCTTGCCTTAGACGGGTGAGGATTTTATAATTTCCCACAATAAAACTGGTAAGTCTAACCAAAATAAATATTGAAAATAAAATAAACTAGTTCAAAGAGAACTATCTATTACACCATCAAACAAAAAAGAACTGCCAAGTCCGGAAGGACATCAAAACATTGGACTTCGATTTCTGCTTGGATTGTTGTTTGTGATTCAAGCTAGACTGGATATATCTATGCTGAAATTGCATGTTAGCACCTTCAACTAATGTGGATCAGCTAGAAATCGATACCAATGTTGAGATTGGCATAACTTTAATTAGATTTAGCCATGGGGAGGCTTGTCGAGTGGGTAGAACTGAGATATCTCATGTCTGGATTGGATTGGAAGTGGCTGGATTGGTGATCGATGGCCTGGAATTGCACTTCAATACCTATTCTACTTGACTGTGGATCACCTAAGAGCTATTCTTGTGATTCTAAGACATCAAGGTGTCTCCGGAAATTTGTTGAGGTTTACATATTATGAAAAAACTTGAACTCCATTTGATTCACCTACTCTGAACCAAATTTGTAACGAGAGAAATCTCGTTTCCATTGTGAACTGCTTCTTCGAACTAAACTGAAGTCAGAAATCTAAGTTATGCCTGTTTTGTTGGAAGTTGGATGGCTTTTACAAATCAAGTAGCTTGATTGCTTCAGAGTTTGAAGACTTTTGGGATTGTGTGATCTTATTTGATTTTTGTCAGTTTGGACTGAATAGACAAATCTTTTTTTTAAAATATATATGTATATATATATATATATATATATATATATATTGGCGCGTATGAAAATAATTTTTAGAAATTGGATGCAGAAAAACACAAATTTTTTGAATTATACAGAGAAAAATACAAAAAAAAGTGAGAAAAAAAGTAAAGAAGAAGAGAACAAAAAAGAAGAAGACAAAGGAAAGGAGAAACCTCTTAGCAAATATCCTCCAGATACTAGAGAATCATCACTCATGCAGATTTCCTATAAATATAGGAGGATGTGAACTAGATAAAGGACAGCAAAAAAATCCAACCAAGACAAAAAAGTGAGTAGTAGTTATTATGACAAGAGAAGCCCACGCCAAGAGTCAGTTTTTATAATGATCAGTTTTGACCTTCTGACAACCAACTCTCTTATTTCTTGTTCGTCTCTTGTAAACTAAGCTTGCTTTGACGAGACCCTCACAAGTATGGGAAGGAGTGGTTTTTTGTTTCACCTTTCTACCAACTCCCTTGAATGTCCTCTGCCTGTTTCCTGTTGACGTCTTGTCATTGGGATCACATGGGTATTATAGAGAAAAATCCTTCCCTTTATATGCTAATCTAGTTTTGAATTGGCAATCAACGGTGATAATCAAACTTTGGACCTTTGAGAATATAATTTGGAAATTGGGTAGGAATTTAAACCAATTAAATATGGCTTTTTCATATTTAAATAACCATTTAATGGCAATTAACCTTTATCCTGAGAAGATTAATTTTGTAATTGGTTCCATTCTACTTCCCCTGTTTTGAAATGGTCTGGGCTTACTTTCAATTTTGGTAAAACAAAGCCCAAACTCATGCCGTCAATATGGTCCAATAATCAGATGGGCTGTTGTTAATATTATGTTAACTCGCAATTGTACGGGGCAATTAATAGTATAGCAAGACAAGTACGAGGTCGTACCCACGAAGACTGAGAAGTTAAAACTAATTATGTACTTAAATTACCAAATTCAAGAAAGTAGGAGGTTATGTCTAAAACAGAATTTAAAGCAAGAGTGGTTGTGATTGTTGAACAAAAGAAGCAAAATGAAATTGCAAACAAAAACAAGTAAACAAATGTAACAAAGAGTGGTTTTAAGAGCTGGAAAACAGATTTGGAGACTAGGGCATTCGAATCACCATAACAATTCAATTCTGGGTTATAAGGAGTCAAGTAACAAGTCTAATTCATATTCAAAGATTGATTCTAGCTAAAGTATGATTAGGCCATGGTGTCTGGTTCTAACCTTGTGTTCCTAATTCCCTAATTTGATCATCTGTTGTCTAACCTAAAATTAAGCATTAGGAACCCATTAAACATAGAAGAACAATTTAAACAACCAAGCATGTATAATCCTTGTTGTCGAATGTCCATACATACTCTTCCTATTCATAGTTCAATTCGAATTAAAGCATGGTGTCTACTCTTAATTCAAACTAAGATAGCTAACATACAAGTTCTAATGGTGATCAATCATTCAAACAAGCATATTAACTGATAAGCATAACGAATAAGAACATGAATCATGAATCCAACTTGAAACTCCAAACTTCAAACTTATAAACCTAGAATATTCATGTTAGGTTACATCGAAGCCCTAGTTATGAAATTAGCTACTCATAATGGAAAAGAAACTTAGATAGAAATGAGAAAACATAAGGAATGCAATAAGAGTAGAAAAACCCCTTTTCTGAAGTTCTTGTGGTGTCCAAGACTTCCTCAAGTACTTCTTCACGGCTAATGCTTCTCCAAGAGCTTCCCCACGTCTAGAATGATGTATGACAGCTAGTAGGTGATTTGGGATGAGTTTGGGTGAGTGGTGATGGCTGAGAAAGAGGAAATTCGTAGGGAAATGGAAGGGAGGCTTTCTGGAGCTGTTCTGGTGATTTCGGGCAGTTTAGAGTATTGGGTTAATTGCTGGAGTGTTTGGGGTTGTGGGAATATATGAGGATGATTTATGGATGTGTTGATGGAATGATGGAAGTGTGGAGGATGGCTGGAGTCAGTTTTGTAGCTTGAAGACTTCTCTATTTATAGGGCTAAGATGGAGGAACATCTTGATGAATTCCAACACCACCATTCCTCTTTTAATATAATCCATAACTCCCACTTCATCTTGTCTATGTTAGTGTGGTTGGAATCAATTCCATCCCATACTTCTTTTGCTGCTCCACCTCAAGCTTTTTTCACTTGGGTTTTCAAAGGTGTTTAATTGTGGCTGCCTTTTGTTGCCAACCCATGTGAGTTTTCTTTTGGTTGCTGGAAAAAAAGATTCTTCTGAACCAGGCTTGGTGTAGGAAGGCCTGAGATTTCAATATGTATCCAATGGGGCTCAAATTTGGATGTCATAATAGACAGCCATTGGAACAACTTTTATGAAGAATGTATTCCCATCTGAGCACTGCAAGTGTATGTTTTGGGCCTTACAAGTTGACTGCCGAAAATAGACTGGAATTGACTTCATTTCTTTTCTTTCCCTTCTTTTTGCTTCACATGCATGCACATTCTTTCTCTTTAATAGCTCCAACATGAACTTCTTGATTTATCCAAACATATTTCCCACAATGCCTTGTTTTTGCTCCTTTAGACTTTCATAGCTGGAATGTCTCCCTACTTTACTCAATATGTTGGGTCCAAAGTCAGTTACAGCTGGGGTGAGGCACATGGCTTAAAGGAGGTGATAAGGCTCAACAGCTGGCAGCTGCAATCCTGAGCATGGTGTGCATTTTGATGGGCCCACGGATTAGGCTTGGCTTCATCAATTGATACGTTTGAGCAGTCCATCTTGCAGTTCAGAATCTCCTCTTTCCAACCACATATTAATTGGGCCAATACAAGTTGGGAGGAGGAAGTTAAGGCCGAAACAAATTGCTAACTTAGTCTGCTCGTTTTTTGCACCATTTTGCATCTTTTCCTATCCAAAGCCACCATTGCTACCTAAAGCCCAATGAACTGAATGATAAACAGAAAAGGGATTAAAAGCACAAGTTTAACTCAATAACATAACCAAATCATAAGCTAGAGGGGTACAAAATGATATACAATTATGAACTAATCATGGGCCAGCGCGCAAAAATTAGGCCTAAACTGACAGGACCCGACCCAAATTCCACTTTGGAATCCGAGCCGGACCCTGTTTGTGTCCGACACCTGGCAACCCATGAAAGACCTAATTGCCCTTCCAGTCAACTTTCTAAAACTGGGGTTTGACTTTTGCTGAAAAATTCAGCAAGGTCTCCCCTACAGTTAAACCAATCCCAAGATTTAAACAAAGTTTTAGAAAATAGTATAAGAACATACTAACCCCACTGTAAAACAATTATAAAACTAAATCATTTCTTATATAAATACTCGTACTGGAATCACTGCATTCATATCTTTATATATATATATAGTCAATCACACACTTGATTAAAACATTAAGTCCTCGAAAGCATTGAAATCAACTTTAAATCTACCACCTAGGTGTACCCATTTAGTAATCCGTCAATTCCTTTAATTTCCGTCAATTCCTTTATAATCCGTCAATTCCATTCTCGTGCCACCGGAGTGACACGTCCTAGCAGACCTCGGGAAACACAAAGTCAACCCGAGCCGCAATCCTAGCAGAATTCAGGGGACACTTGGTCGGCCTGATCCGCATTCCTCACACCCATGGTTTGGGCGTCCCCGAAACTCGTGGGGCGGTGTCTAGCATGCTGACTTACCCGAAGGCAACTGGATGTCCGTCGACATCAATATAACCGAAGGCAACATAATTTTATTCCGAAGGCAACTTTATTTCCGAGGCAACATTTATTATACTGAAGGCAACCTTGGGTACCTATGGTGGCTTAAAATAAATGTATGTATGTATATATATATATATTAACGTTTATAAAACAAATAGTCCACTCACAGATACTCTGAGCTAGCTGGACCCTTTGAAGGTCCCTCCTGCGGGTCACCTGGTGCCCGGGTGCCTGAATAACCCTCATGAATATTTTATTAATAAATCTGCTCAGGAAAATAATATTAAATTAAAAACCCTGACCCCCAGCTCCTAAAAGTGCGTGCATCACTTTAAAAGTCATTCCTATGCCCACATTAGCTTTTCCTCTCAGTGGACACGCTTTAGAAGTATCTCGGGACTCAAAAGCGATAAAGTCCCTAAAAGTCAACTCAGGACCCCGTGGGGTCCACGACCTCAGAATTTCCAATCCGATCGTTCCTAGAGGTTCCAATAGGCGTAGGACACATGTCCCGAAATTTCGGTCTCGATCGAACGGTCGGATTGCTCACGATCGCACGATCGGACGGATGAGTGATTTTTCTATAATCCTAGCCCTAGGGCTGGCCTTTTCGGAGTATCCGGGACTCCGATTGACGATCCGTCAAAACCTACAAGATCTTGAAATTACCTAGATCAACATACTCCAGTTTGACTACGATCCAACGGTCTGAACATAATGAACCCGGAAATCGCACACTATGCGAGATCCGTTCAGGGTTCAAACGTTATCCGAATTGAGATCTGTGAAATCCTACGCGCTCGTGAGGACACGAGGATCGTTCTGGGACCAAGAGTGGTCCCTGCTACCTGGGCCACGCGCAGCCCACGCGCGGGTGCCTAACAATTTCCGGCGACCGGAAAATCTCCAAACCCCCGTACCAAACTCCTATCCTAGGTAATACACCCTATTTGGAACCACTTTTATTCTTGGACTTTGGCCAAAAAGTGGCCGGAAGTGGCTGAAATCGGCGACGCAAACCGGCAGAACTTCAATTCGTAATTTAACCTATCAAACCTCAAAATCTCTCCAATCCTACCCAACCATCAGCTAGTTCGTGAAAAATAGTTAGAAATCCATACCTTACTCGCTTGATTTGGTGATCGGAGGTTTGAAATTCAGAGAAAACCCAGCCAAATCCGAGCTGTTTCTGGCGGCTGGAGCTGTCGATGGAGGCAGCGTAGGTCTGGGGTGTGGCGGCGAGGTTGGTCTGGTCCGATCTTGGCCGGTTTTGTGTCAGGCGGTGAGGTGGGGTGGTGGCTATGGAGGTTTGGAGGAGCTGCTGGAAAATTGTCTAAAGGGGGGAGGGGTTTGCGCGAGGAAGAAGGGAGTGAGGAGAGAGAGAAGCAGATTTTTAAAAATCTGATTTTCAGAAAATACCATTTTGCCCTTTTTCTGTCATTTGCTCGTATTTTCTTCAATACGACTCGGAATTGAGCCCATTACGTGTCTACGGACTCGTTTTGTCGTGCTCTACGCAATGGTACATGTGGATTTTCCAAATTCTTTCTCAGTCAAAAAGTCAACTTAAAACCTAATAAATTATTCCGAGGGTAGTTTAGTCTTTTCCTTCATTAAATTAATAGTTAAATAATAATTAAGGTTTGGGTTGTTACATAAACAAATTCTTTACTTGTGCTTTGGAGAAAGCAAAACCCCTAGTCTACTCACACACAAACCGATTAAATGGTAGATAAAATCCCTCTTGTTTTTTCTCTCTCACCCAAAGAAATCAATCATAAATGAAAACAAAAAGAAACAAAATATAGTTGAGGAAAATGGAGTCCGATTTGGGTGGAAATTGGGGGATTTAAGATTGAAACAGTGGGCTGTATCTACATGAGGAGGGTGGGACCAAACTAGAGGAAGAGAAAGAGGTCGAGGATAATGGTCTTAGGGTTTAGGAAGTTACAATGGGAGGGGTTCAGATTTGGATGTTTATTAAGGAGGGTGTATTCAATTTAGATTTTAAATAATTGTAAAAGAGTTATGAAGTTGATGGAGTTCTATTGAATTTGACTGAATTCTACAAACTCCACATAGATTTTGACTGAATACGTGTATAGATTTTAATTAAGTCTGTTAGAATTTTATTATTGATTTTAATGGAGTTTATAGCGATGAGGGTGGTGGTGATGACAATGGCGATTGTGGTGGTGGTGGGGGTGGTGGCGATGGTAGTGGTAGTGGGGCCGACGACGATGACTGTTGTGGTGGGGGCGCGGCATCGGCGGCGTCCATGGTGATAGTCATGATAAGATGGTGGTAGTAGAAGTGGTGAAATCATATTTTGATAATAAAAATAATATATTTATAATCTCTGGGGGAAGCAAACATTTGTCATAGTCTAAAATTAGTCTATTATCAAACGAAATCTACCACTTTTTGTATTTCCTTTAAAGTCAATGAGTTTTTGAATACACCCAAACCTTTATGAAGTCTTCTAAAGTCGTGATTATTTACATTCAAATTTGAATGGAGTTTAAAAAGTCAAAATTGAATACACCAAGAATTGAATACACTTCTATAAAATCGTGATTGAATACACCTAAACTTTTAAACTTCTTCAAAATTTCTTTCTCATCATCCTCTTCCTTATGGTTAACTAGGCAAGTAACAATCCAAATATGTTTACTTTATAGGCATCTGATGGACATAACTCTATTCTAATATGAGCATGTGCAGGTGATTTTGGAGAAGGCTGCAAGAAATGACAATCCTGACATTGACGAGAAGTAGTTACCTGTTCACTCTGTGCTTTAATCTTCTTGATTATGCTCAGAAATCCATCAAAAAAAGGGAAGCAAAGGACGTGCACAAGACCCATTAGTTGGTTGCACATTTGGAATATAAGATCTAGAAGGGCGAAAAGAATTTCAGCAAGCCAATTATGTTTTTAATCACCTAACTATGCTTCTGGCTACATAAGTCACTACTAGAGAAAATGAACAAAATATGCGTTGTCACCCATATGTAATTGTGCTCTTGTCACTCTCATCCTCAACCAGGTGCTGGTCCTCGACCACTTGCAGATCCATGGGGTCCTCAACCACTGGCAAATCCATGAGATCCTCAACTTCAACTTCTGGCGAATCCACCAGGTCCTCGTCCTTTGGAAGATTCTCAACTGGAACTAGATGGGCCTCTTCTGGCTGATCATCAATCAGGTGAAAGAAAAAATATGTGGCATCTATCCTTTCAATCATCATATTCATGACCTCCTCTCAAGGTCTCTGACTGAGACCATGGGTATTCTCGTATAAAAACAACGTTGTGAAATTCATACCAGTAGTTGTAATCGTCTGGAACATCATACTCTAGTAATGGATTACCCTCCAGCAACAATAATATAGCATCTTCCAGCTCCTGGACACTTTGATGGTTTGCAACATTAATCTATCCTATGTAATGATCCATTCCATCAGGAGTGTCGATTTAATGGGCTTGTCTTTTTTATTTTATAAAGTTTCAATAGGATATTATACGTGTGTTATTTAATGCAGTTGTCTTGTTTCAACAGGATCAAGAGGCCAACATGATGAGGAAGAAAATAGGGGCAGCGAGGGAGATGCGGTTGGGGATCAAGGGCTAGCTATAGTAAATCGACAGACTTCTTATGGAATAGATCATTACATAGGACAGATTAATGTTGCAAACTATCAAAGTGTCCAGGAGCTGGAGGATGCTATATTACTGTTGCTGGAGGGTAATCCATTACTAGAGTATGATATTCCATACGACTATGGCTACTAGTATGAATTTCAAAATGTTGTTTTATACGGGAATACCCATGGTCTTAGTCAGAGACCTTGGGAGGAGATCATGAATATGATGATTGAAAGGATAGATGCCATAGATTTTTTCTTGCACCTGATTGATGATCTGCCAGTCGAGGCCCATCCAGTTCCAGTTGAGAATCTTCCAGAGGACGAGAACTTGGTGGATTCGCTAGCAATTGAAGATGAGGACCCCATGGTCTCAATCAGAGGCCTTGGGAGGAGGCCATGAATATGATGTCGGGCCCACTTACTAAAGAAACAAGACAGCATATCTAACATTTATACATCCCAACAAGCAGCATGCACAAGATAAATTCTTGCAGTTTACATATTAGGCCTCCGACCTTATAATCAATCCCTAACAGGGGCGACATCAGAGTATATCTAACATAATTCAATTTTCAAACAAAAATGATTCAAAAGTTTATCCTACATAAACTCGTCTCTGGGTTCACAACTTGCTACGGCCGTTCGATTTTAAGATGATCAACTGCCTGGGGGGCGCAAAATAGAAAGGTGTGAGTGGACAAAAACAAGGTTTAGTACACATTGAAAACAATATAATATAACCCCACCGTTTAGAAAACGATGCTGAAAACCATATGCATTAAAAACCGATATAGCCATATGTATATATATAGTTGAGTCAAAACCATAATGAAATATGAAATCCCATAATGATACTTTATTACTCTTCCCATTCGAACCTTTCCCAAACTATTCTCTCTAAACGCGTGCCTGTTAGCACGACGAGCGAGGAAGTATCCTCACTGATAAACAAAAACGAATGAATAAGTATTTATATATATATATATATATATAAGTGAGACAACTATCAAGTTTGTACCGGGAAAACAATCCAACCGGGGCATTGTTTGACTAGTCCACATGGAAGAATCCTCAATTGACCATGTGGCTAGAGAACGAGCCGTCCAATTACGACTAAGCTCACCAGCACGTACAGTACAATCCTCAATACTCGTGCACCTGTGACAAGTCTTACGCACGCAGACTAACCACGCTAAGGGTCTATGAAACACCCTGTCAAGGGTGCCCGGGTTCCAACTTTTCCAAATATCCCATATGACAGGACTCGACCCAAATTCCACTTTGGAATCCGAGCCGAACCATGTGTGTCCGACACTTGGCATGTGCTGGGCACAAATGACCAAATTACCCTTCTAACTAAAATCCAAACTTATTTCAGGTTTGACTTCTGTTGGAAATCCGACAGTCTCCCTTGTAAATTGCTCATTTCCCAAAAAATTTACCTGTCAAATAAGCATATATATGTATATCACAACTGCCAGCATGTATTCAATTTTCATCCAGACAAACCAACTACAATTAAACGGCCTCAAGCCTCTCATAAACAAATAAAATTTTCTACCAGCAGCAATGTATTCAAAGACTTGGTCTCGTGGCTGCACCTGGTAACTCTAGGTTGCCTACGTACCCTTAACAAGGGATCAAGCCACACATAGTTCTTTCTCTTTTTATGTTACACTTGCTATACACGAACAGAAATCGAGCATGCATATTGGTATTTATATAACAATTCATGCGTTTGCATAAGTCTTCACACCAATTAAAAACACTGCCAAAAAAAGATTTCTCTTCAACCTAGGTGTGCCTATCATTATACGTCAATTCCTCGTGTCATAGTTTGTGACATGTCCTCGCAAGTCTCGGTAACACAGAGTTGACCCAAGCCGCAATCCTCGCAGGACTCCGGGGACGTTTAGTCGACCTGATCTGCAATTCTAAAAAATTATACTACAATTTCTCATTAAACCCTTGAACCATGTTGCCATTATCCTTCTACTTTCCAAACCATTCTTATTTTAAATATAAACAAACAGTCCCAATCTCTTGGACCACAAGAGTCCAAGAGATTGTGGTCACCCACCGTTGGATATTAATTCAATGGTTCAAAAAAATTTCTTAAAAGGAGTGCAAGAGTAAGTGAACCGTTGAATTTATATCCAAAGGTGAGTAACCACAAATCTCTTGAACCCCTATAGTTCAAGAGATCAGGACTATATAAACAGAATACAATCAAAATATTTGAAATCAAATAATTATGCTTGGAAGGTAGAATTCATAGTAACTCATTCATAATCATTACATAACACCTTAATCGCATAAAATTTATTTAGAAAACAAAGTTTCACTCACTAAACTTCTTCTAATTCGTAAATCACTTAATATATTACTGGCTTAGATTATTATATTATATATATAAAATAAAAATAAAAATAAAGATAAGAAAATAAAACAAACACCGCCGAAAATAGTTTTAACCTTTCCTACAAAACTCACATAAAACTCAATTATAAATACATACATACACACATATAAAGATTTATAATCAACTTATTATAGAGAAACATGAAACAAGTAAATTATTCAAATAACATTGACCAAGAAAAATCTTAATGTCACTAATAACACTTAACTGAAACATATGTTTTTCCCTTTTACTTGTAAAACACACTCATTGCTTAAGAAATTAATTGTGATCTATATAAAATCCTTTAAACTTAGAAAATTTCTCCACATGGACGTACCCCCATCCATATTCCGTCAATTCCTTGTGCCACCTTATATGACACATCCTCGCATGCCTCAGTAACACAAAATCAATCCGAGCCGCATTCCTCATAGGCCTCGGGAACACAAAACCAACCCAAGCCACATTCCTCGTAGGCCTCAGGGGACCATTAGTTAGCCTGAGCCGCATTCCTCGCACCACACGATTCAGGCATCCCCGATACTCGTGGGGCAATGTCACAAATGACAAATCCGATTCAAAGGCAACTGGGGTGGGGGGTGGGGGGGGGGGTTTACTCCTGTGGTGGGTTTGAAAACTGTAGCCTGAAAGTCATCATAACTTTTCCCTTATTTCACAAATCCATATTTCAAATATTTTCTCAACTTTCCAAAAACTAGTTCTCAACTACCCTTGAATTTACACCACATACAGTTGAGAACTAGTGTCCATAATTCATCATTTTCAAGCCAATGAGTATATAGAATAATATAGATATACTTAGATATTTAATTAATTTATTATTCACGTCGAAGTCTGATTACATAATAACTCATGAAACACATAATAAATTGAAAATAAATTACTATCCAAATTCATAAATCACACGCAATTATAAACACACCAAATGAATAGACAATAGAGTTAGGATAGTCTAGCCTGTGATGATAGTCTAACCAAATAGTTAGTTCTTGTAACTAGAGAAAAAGCATGTCCCTTCATTGTAACATCGTTTCTCCAATTTCTTTCTTATTTTATTTTTATTTATTTATAACTTTTGGTGTTAGCCATCAAAGTTCAAGAAACAATTATAACATGTTATGAAGGCAAGCAATAACAAATAACTGCAAAACTACTTTCTTATCACTGCAAGACATTCATAAGAGTATATGTAGGAAGAGAAATCTGACATGTGCTAACTACCGCAGAATAAAACTTCCAAATATCACTTCTCATCGTCCCAAAATATAATTTTAGAAAAAGTAGTTGAGCAATGTTCAACAGAGATAAGATTCAAGTACCATTACAAACTACATGAAACTGAACAGATAAGTAGAGAACACAACACGGACAATAACCGTGCAGATTTTACAACATTAGGTTCGGAGTCTAAGAAGGATGATTACAATGCTAAATAAACTTTCAGTATTGCAGTACGTCAAATTGCACACTTCGCATAAAAGTAAATTGAATAAACAGATTGTGGTTGACAAATTACTGAGTGTAGACAAATAAGTATTTAGCAAATTATAACACTAAGACAGATTCTGGTGGGATAAATCTTGGGTTTTGTATTTGAACCGTTTATAATTTTCATAATAAAAGTTCCAATAGAACACAGTGACACATATGACCTTAAAACAGAAGCAAGCAAGCAAGCAAGTAATCACGCGAAGTTTTGTTTCAACTGTAGAGATGCATTACGTCTTTAGATTGTTGGAAACCCATTAATTAATTATACCTCAAAGAACACAGATTTCACATCAGATTTAGAGATTTGTATAAAAAGAAACAAATAATCATACTTGAATACCAAAAAGATATAATTAAAGGATCAGAAGTGCATAAAGAAAATGAAAAACAAAACAAGTTATTCAACCTCATGAAAAAGGGAAAAACCCCAAATTGAATGAAAGCACAAAAATGGCGAAACCTGGTGGCGATGGGAGCAGCTGGAATTGACTAGGGGAGAGAAGAGGCAGAGCACACTACACTAGCCTCAACTTTTCTCACGAGACTTCTAAGGAAACGCTGCCCCATGACCCATTTAGCATCTTGGGTTCGAATTTCTGGTATTAACACTTAGAATCACAGCTGGAAATTGGCATAGGTGTATAGAGGAGAGAGAGACGAAGAGAATGGGACCAGTTTCGTGGCCGGAGACGGCCGGAGTTGGCCGGAATCTCCGTCGGAAGGCTGCTGGGTCGTGGCGGCTGTGCAAGAAAGTGAGAGACAGCTCGTGGGGGGTGGGGAAAGGAGAGAGGAAGGGAAAAAAAACAAAAAGAAGAAATTCTTTTTAAAAAGCCCGGTACTGTAGCAACACCACCGTAGGGGTACTTTTTGCTACAGTACAAATAAAAAAAAGGGAAATATACTGATATAATCACTTTTTACAAATTGTATTCTGAAATGATCACGTTATAAATTCTATTCAGATATAATCACTTGGGGACATGAAATTACCTAAGTGCCCTCCATATAAAAGCATATTTATTGGCGACCTAACACTTCTGACTTCTCTCTCTGTCTCAGCTCTCTCTCACCGTTCGCTCTTCCTCTATCGTCGCTTTCTCTCTCCATCGACCACCACTACTCTCTTTCTCCCTCTGTCGCGAAAACCTAAGCAGAACTCTCTCGTTCTCTGTCTGCAGCCAATGTTAGGGTTTGTTGAGGGGGTTCTTGAAGGTGAAAGAGAGGGTTTCTTCGTTAAATGCTCTCTCCCTTGAACAATCTATCAGTTCCCTATTTTTTCATGTCTTCAATCGACGTCTTTCTCTTCTCCTCCGCTCCTTCAGGGCCTCAAAAAACCCTAATTCTTGGTTTTGGTTCCGACTTATTTCACATACTTCCTCCTCATTCTCAATCTCTCACAGACAAAATTCGTGCTTTTCTTTAGGTGTTTTTGGGATTTCCAATTCGGTTCTGTGCGCAAAAGGAGTGATTCTAAGGTGGGTTTTGTATTTCTTATTGACTAGTTTGTCTTTTTGTATGGTTTTCATTTGAGAATGATGATTTCACTAACCTGTGACTGATTTTGTGAAGTTTAGTAATTAGGGAGATTGGAAATTTCTGTATTTTCACTGTGAATTACTTCATGCTTGGATGAAACTTCTATTGGTCTGATTGATTTTGCTCTATGGACGACGAAGTGCCTCAATTTGCTATTTGTCATCTAGGATTGGTTCGTTTGTGATGCGTGTTTTCAATTCCATTTGTCATCTAGAATTGCTATTTGCAAATAACAAAATTTATATCGACTGCTGCCTAATGCTTGTTCTTTTTCTGGCTAATCACTTAACTAATATGTTGTCCATTTGAATTTGATTTTATTAGGTTGGCTATCCAACATTGGGTGCATTTGCAGAGTTCGTCTCCGAATTTGACATGCCTAGTGGTTCAACTTCAAGAACAAAGATGCAAGTGTTCTTGAGACTGGCAAGCCTTTTAGCCCTGCCATGTTTGAAGGTGTTCTTAAAAATTTTACTCCAGATGTACCAACTAGCATCTCGGGCAGGCCAAGGTTTGTATCTGATTTGGGTCAATAATTTTCTGTTCTAGGTTTTGTCTTTTTGTATTTTGTATTTCTATGTTGAGCCTTCTGATTGCAAATTTAATCCTTGATGGTATTGCTAGCTTAAATTGTAAAGCACGATTATTGCAAAATGATTTAGACACATGCATCTATTTGTAGTCGCAAAAGTTGTCCTTCCCTGCCACTTTTTTTCTTTTAAATCCCTTATGCACTGTTTCCTTTCTGTCCAGACATGTAGTGCAATTTTGTTACTTTGTGATTCTCATAAATCTTGTATTGATCGGTAATGGTTTTCCTTAAGTATTATTAGGCTTGATTTATAATTCTCAAGCTTTACAATTTGTCTGATGGCTTGAAAAAGTGCCACTACCTGACATAGCTCATGACTAAAATGCCTGCAGTTACAGTGTCTCCACTTAATTAAATTGTTTATTTTCTGAAAACATGTTACACTTTTTTCCAGTTTATTTATATGTTTGTGGTTTATTACACCTGTTGCAACCCATTTAATGTGAAATAATGGGTTAGACTGAGATATTTTAGAAGTTAACAATCTTCTGTATTATTCTGAGTTCGCCAATATTTTCATGGACCAAGGAAAGAAGAAACCTATAACACCTCAAGAGTAATTACCGAAGGGTTAAATTTGCGTTGTTTAGTTTCTTCTCTGTCTAATGTAAATATTTATGTCAGCATGTCTATATTCTACTTTCTATTTTAAGTTGCCTAGTGAAACTATTTTTGTTTTTCAGACAAGAAGATGCTCAGGAGTTCCTTAGCTTCATTATGGATCAGATGCATGATGAATTACTTAAGCTTGAAGGACAGCCCTCGAGTATTAATGGGCTCAAATCATCTCTAGTATCTTCTGCAGAAGAAGATGAATGGGAGACAGTTGGCCCTAAGAATACATCTGCAGTAACCAGGACACAGAGTTTTGTTCCTTCAGAATTAAGCGATATTTTTGGAGGACAATTGATCTTGATCTTGGTTTTTCTTTCTTTTTTCCTGTAGAGGAAAGACAAACTTTTTTAAGGGAAGGGTGGGTGACTATGAAAGAGCATTATGTCAGGCCTCCAAGATGGTGGAAAGAATGTCATCTTCAAGATGAACGCTGACTTATAGTCATCAATTTGTTGCAACTTCCTCTAGTATTGTACTGAAATGCTGAATTTGGAATCAAAATTTTGTTACTCTTCTTTGAGCCAGCAATTTGTATATTGTATTTCAAGGATATATATAATGCCATAGTCTGACTAAAGTTGTATTAATTTATGCCGAGCCGTTCTTAGCTTGGGGTGGTTATCATTATCAGTATAGAATTTTGTATCTATAATTTAAAATTCCATTATAATAAGGTGGAAAATGTGAAATATGCATCATATCTCAATCTCATCATTGTGTTTGCAAAATGATGCATGCCTCAGCTACTTTCAATGTCAACAATGTCTCCAATTTCGTTGGGTATGTATATCATTGGTAGGAAAAATGTAAGGGGAAATGTCTGATATAATCAATTTCTGTTTCTTTCTGCAGTTTTGTGTTGACAATTTCTATTTCTTTCCCCCTTTCTTTTTCGATTGCACAAGAAAAAGAAAAATCGCGCCCAACTTGTTTATTGTATTGTTATTGCTTTTTTATTGCTTGTCTATTGTCACTTTATTGCTTGTTTATTGCTATCGTATTGTTTTTGTATTGCATGTCTGTTACCACTTCATAATCTATGTGCCATTACTTTCATATTGCTTTTGTATTGCTTTTTGGTTGGTTTTCTTAATTAATATAATTTGTTGCAGGGGAAGCAATTATGAGTTTGATTTATAAAAAGAACGTGACGCCCTTAATGGAATCACATTCTTAAAATAATAAATACTCAATAAAAAAGCAATAATGGAATCACATTCTTACACCAATAGCTGAACACAAATCAATTATATTGAAGAGATACATATACGGTGCTTGTTGTACCTTATTTGTATGATAATGAATAATGATCTGGCATTTTCCTTTACAAAATAAACTTACACGATCAAGTGTTTTCTTTTACAAAATATCCTTATAAGTTCCTTCACAAGATAAACTTGAAAAAACAGGTGATAAGAAACAAATATAAGTGCAATAACCAGGCAATACCACAACACTAAAATGGCAATATGATGACAATACAAATGCAATAGGGGAGCAATACAATGGAAATACAAAAACTCCACATTCCCACTAAATATTCATAATCTACAACATATTACAAAAAGGACATGACGTCCTTAATGGAATCACATTTTACACTCCTACATCATCAAAATACCTTTGAGCAAGGAATGGGCGGAGAGGCTTCTGTAAAAGTTGAGGATGTAAAAGATGTTCTTGACTTGAAGGTGGATTAGTTACTGGCCAAAGGATTCTTAGGAAATTATTTTCCTTTCACAACTCTCCAAGAGCTAATCCAGCCTGAGGGAAAAAACAGAGTCAGAGATACATAGGCATAACCAGTGACACTTGAGTACATTATGAATGCCAAAGAACTCAGATAAATCACTAACATAATTGTCCTTCATAGATTAGGCCTAACTCTATCTCAGAACCTCAAAAGAAATTAAGATGGCCATCCTATCCTATTTTCTACTTATGAAAACAGCTTTTTTATCAGGTACAGTCTGATATGAATACCGGTTTTTACCAACATCGCATAAAACCTTTTACTTTCTTATACAATTCACAAGCAGCCCTGTCCTTTGTACTACGAAATACTAACAAATTTGAAACTCATTATCTACGAGAGAAAAAATGAAGTGCCTGACCCTTGTGGCATCAAAATACTAATCCAGTGTAAACTTGTTAAATGGGGGACAGGAATGCATACTCTACCTAATATTGCAGAATGCATACCTGAGAGTGACAGTTCATTGCTGATCTAAAATCTTTGTCACGAAATGCTAAGTCCCCACGCTTTTGCACCTCCAACATATCCTTCATTTGCTGAGTCCATTCTCGGAAAGACAACTAACACAAAGACAAACAGTTTCAGAAAGGCATCAGAGAACCATCTGAACCTACGTGTGCACAATCCAATTACCTCATTGGTTCCTTCATCATCTTTGTAGTGTGTCATTAACAAAATTTGATGGATGGCTGTGAGGTCCATCCTTGAACAGGCATCGCCCATGGCCGAAAGAGGATGTTGTGGAGTTGGAGGTGCTTCCTCGTGCTTTGGAATTCCCAGCATCGCATAAGATGGGACCTACAAGGTCGTTAAAAGTATAAAGAAAATAAACTGCATTTATTTAGGGAGCATAGTTGCACTACTTTTGGTTCAGAATGTTGGTGGTGATAATATTTACAAAAAGGCAATGTTTAAGAAACGAACAGAACGAAAACAACATGTAATTGCATCCATGAGGAGAAAAGGCATGGAAGACTTACATCAGATTTATTTTGCAGTGGGGCAACTGTTGCAACAAGGTCTTTGGTATTTGGCCGCTCCCTGGGTTCATATTGCAAACATCGTGAGGCAAGATCAAAAACCACAGTCGCTTGTTCAGTGGAAAAATTTCCCTCCGGGTGTGAATCCATTAAGAGAATAATGTTTTTTTTCCACGAATCATATCAAGAGCCTGCAACACAAACATAAATTATAAA